AGAGAGAGAGAGAGAGAGAGAGATGAGAACTAGCACAAGAATTGGTTTTTAACCCCTCCATGGTTGTCAACCCTACTTCCTACCATTTTGGGACCATTAATTGGGTTATTTTTGCTTATTTCTTTTGGTCCCTGGGCCTTAAATAGGCTGACTAACTTTGTGAAACAACAGATAGATATCAGATACATTATCATAAGTTAGCTATGGAGGACCACAAGACTCAAGATGAGGTTGTTACTCTATCCAGGGTGGTTCCAAAACCCATCTCCACCCAACCTAAAAGAGGGGACTTCTGCCCCTAGACCAAGCAGAGAGTGGCCACCCAGAATCCCCTCTGACTGGCGATATAAATTCTTGTTTAGGCTGCGAGGCTAAGCACTGCAAGGGAATATAAATAAAAATGAAAAATATCTTTCTGGTTTTCCTAAGGGACAAGCCTGACTGCATAGGGGTTGATGTCAAAAGTATCCGCTCTCCAGGAAAAAGACATTGGGATGGGTATGACTCTCATACTTCACTGAACAATGATGGGAGGACAGGAGTTGTTACAAGGTCCCCTTTAATTACTGGAGGTCAGGCCTCTATCCCCGCCTTTGCAAGACTGGAATGACCATGGTCCTTCTATACTTGGAAAAGGGGGAGATGTCGGGGCAGCCCTGCTTATACACTGAAGGCCTAAAATCAGCCATAGGCCTAAACAGGAATAGGCCTGACATACACGCCTGCTAGCACCAAGACTTGGGTCTCTGTGGAAAAACACTGAAAAAGATGGCTATAAGCTATTGGAAACAAGCAGCTTTGGTGGAAAATTGCCAGCCTGAATAATCATAGACCTTGTAGATAGATAACCTTGGTGGATAGTACCAACTTAGATAATGACAAGTGAATCATAGGCTGAGTCTTAGTGATCTGTCCCCTGAACCTTCACCCAGCTGACATTCTATTCTAGAAGATATCTGTACTTCCCCTGAACACCTACACTCCTGTGTTATCCCCTTACCCACATCCTGCCTTTTTGTGTATATAGCCCCTGTGTGAAAAAAGTAAAAATTATGATTTGATCAGACTATAGACAAATCATGGTTCTTTGTATCTTTGCCTGTTTCCTCCTGCTCTCGTTCAGGTTACCTCTCTAGAGGATGGGACACGGGACTGTCTAGGCAGTCAACTGTTTCTGTCATTTTTATAATTTTTGGAAGCCATGTCCCTGCACTTTCTGCATATAGATTCCTTCTCCAGTCTCTGATGGGGTTGAAGATTAGATAATTATATTCTTACAAGGAAACTTAAGTTGTTTAACATCTAGGAAGATATTTTAGGTCTAGGAAGATATATTTAAGTTAATAATGCAAGTTGGGACAGAAATTGATTTAGATAGAGAACTCAGAACTTACCAGGATAGGATAGATTAATAAAATACTTTCTTCTGAGTTTCCAAATACAAGCAGACTGGAATTTTTGAATGTACCTCTTACCTAATAATTTGCATAATTATTTCATAATTGATCTTACTGTATGTTGTTTGTTATTATAAAAGAAAGACCTTTTCTATTTAGACAAAAAGGGGGAATTGTTGAGGTTTGGTCTTTAGCTGTGTATTGTAATGTTAAGTACAGAGTCCGGTTGTGCCCATGGACAAGGAGATCATCATGTATGCTATGTAAACTTGCTTCTTAATTTAAAACTCTTGGTCAAATAAAGATGAAGACAGCCTACAGCTGGAGAGAAGAGAGGTGGGTGAGGTGTTGGTTTCTGGGTTTGGGGGTCTGGGGAGGACCACATGAGAGGGAGAGGGAGAGGGTGGAGAGAGAAGACACCATGGGGTAAGGGATTGTAAGAACAGTCCATGAAGGCTGGCCAGTCAGAGTAAGAGCAGCCTAGGCAGAACATGGCATGTCATTTCTCAGGGTTATCAGAAGGGAAGGGAAGTAGACAAAATAGACACAATAGGCTTGATATCCCCAGTTTAGAGCTGATTAAGGCTTCTGTAAATATAATAAATATAATAAATATTTTGAGTCTTTTATCTGAGGACAGAATGGTCAAAGGTGGGGTAGAAATGACTGATTGAGATGAAATATTTGCTACTACAGATCTCTTGGGGCTGAAGTCACAGAGAGTAGTGAACTGCCCCAGGTGAGGGCTAGGAACCAAACTTAGGTCCTCTGTAGGTTAGGAAAAAGCTCTTGACAATGAGCCATTTCTACATTTCCCCTGTTGAGGGATTTAAATGAGAGAATAATTAATATATAATGAGATTTAATTTTATTTAAATTTTAATTAGATTCAAATATTAGTAATTAATATTTAAATAAGAGAAATATCCCATGCCTGGCACCAGCAGTCAGTGATAGTCAACTCACAGTTCCTCTGCTAAAGCAGATTTCCTCTACTCTCCCTTCCCTGTCCCTGATGGGATGGGGCATGGTGCTTAATGAAAGGAAGGGCAAGCCCAATCTCTGTTCCCTGCCAAGTGGTATAGAAGCTGAAATCTCTGCCCCAGTAAGCCACAGACAGGAACACCCTGAGATGACTAACACCCACATTACTTAGATGCCCCACGCTGAGAGTGTCACAGATCTTCTTTCTTACAAGTGGCTGTCAGCACCAGGTTGCTGCTGCAGGCCCCAGGACTCTCTTGTGAGGCTTCTGAGGAGAGTCAGTGAAGGTCTATTATCTGCCGGCTCTGCTCTTCTCTGAGTCTTCACTCAGAAGAGCCATGGGAACGCTCGAAGGACACCTGCTGCCAGGAGTAGGCTTCCTCATCTTCGCGGTCTACTATTCCTTGCTAACATCTTTGGCCCTGCTCCGGAAACAGAAGATGCTCAAGCACCCCTTGCTCCCGAGGAAGCTGCTGGGACACAGGTTGTATTGGCAGGTATCCTATGAAGCAGTGGCAAAGGTGGTTGTCCCCTCTATTTGCCTTTTTTGTGAATACTTCTACCCCCTAGGAGTCAACCGTCTGAAGATGATAGACTGGAAGGACCCTCGGCGGGTGTTTATTTTCAAGGACAACTGGGAGCATGAAACCATGTTTGGGTTCTTTCTTCTCAGTGGCATAGTGGACCTTGTGAGCCAGGCACATCAGGCACGTTGGAGTGTGAAGCTGGAGCGCGCGGCCGAAGCCCTGGCTTTCTATGTGCTGGCACTGCTGATGATAACCCATATTGAGAACAAAAGCGCCTTGGAAATCCGAGTCCATCTTCTGTTTGTGTTGCCTGCCTTCTTGCTTGCTCTGGTGCTCACTGTGGAGATCTGGGTCCCTGACGATCCCCCACTCTGGATCCTGAAGAGCTGGATGGGGCTGGTGTTAAGCACCTGGATGATGCAGATCTGTGAGATGTATATACCTTTCACTGGACAGCCCTGGAGGGCAGACAACCCTGTGGACCGGGCATTTTTAACCATCTTCTTCTGCTGGCACCTGGCCTTAGGGCTTGCCTTGTTTATTACCATCTTTGGCCTCTCCAGTCTCTGGCTCCGTCACTATTCTTCCTGGACAAAGCCTCTTGAGGCTAGGTACCAGTGGTGCCCTATGGAATCCAGTGGTGAAGAACTAGAAAAGCTCAGTGCAGAACCTGTGTCACAGAATGGAGGTGTGTAGGCACAGAAACTGTCTTGAGTGTGCATGCACAGCCTGGAGCCCACAGCATAGCTGTTCCATCCCAGGATCCAGCTTGCTTATCCCCAAATAAACCTGTAGCTCCGAGGAAAACTTCTTAGTTATCACTCTGTTCCATCCAGGTCAGTCCCCACCTCTTTCCTTATCTGTATGGTTTCTGGTCATTCATAGAGAAAGAACAAAAGGGTTCTTTTCTGTAATAGCTTTTGGTAAGTTTTCTTATTAAAAATAAAGAGAGAAAGAAACTTAAACTGAGTAAGTCTACTTCTGACTTCTGGGAAAGTAGGGAGAAGGAAGAGGAGGCAGTTTACCAAGGGTTCAAGTCAAGAGAGCAAAGAGTCCTGAGTGGAATTCTTGAACATGGTTGTAATAAGGTGATTGCCATGTAATTTTAGAGCTGGTGAGTTGCTCAGTGTGTAGAGGCACCAGCCACAAGCCTGAGGACACGAGGCGTATCCCTGGGACCCACCGTGTCGAAGGAAAGACTTGACTCTGACAATTCTCTGGCACACATACACTAAAAAACCCAAAATGTCAATATGTTTAAGCAAGTTTAGGGTCTGTGTGTATATTCCACAGGTAGAGTGTGTGTCTAGTGTTCCTGGGAACCTGGGTTCACTAGCCCGGCAAAATAAAACAAGCAATCCAATAATTTGTATTGCTTTGGTTTTTGCTGTGACTCAAAACAACTTGTTCCAACTCCTTCAGAAAATCTATTGCATGTGTTGTATCCTGTGTGAGTGCTTCTGGGAAGAAACCAAAGAAACTCTTGAATCTTACTTGAGGAGAAGGGGCTGGGGGAAGAATGCCATGAAGTGGGGATGGGTATCAGTGATCTTTATGGATGTCTTCAAATAAGATGCAGACATCAAACATCTGGAAGTTTACAGACATGGCAGTATAGGAGGAGGTGGAGTAAGGAAAGCTAGGAGAAGCAGACACATGAAGCCACTGTATTTACCTTCCCATATAGCCAGGAATGCTCTCCTCCGCTCAGGGAAAGCTTCTAGAAGCACAGACGTTTGCAGGCAGCAGACAAGGCAGCTCTTTTAAAATGCCATAGGCATCCCAAAAGAAGCAGTGATAAGCAGAGCCTGGACCATGGTCTCAGAGACCGTCAGAGAGGGGAGCCAGGGCTCTAGCAGTCTACACTGGCCAGATGGGAATCTTACAGAGGGGCCTATCATCCTGAAACAGGATCCAGGCCTCTGGCCAACACACCCCAAGCCTTCTCTTCCCAGTGGGGCAGGAACCAATCCAAGAAGAAACTATTTTCTACCAAAAAATCCCAGAGCCAGAACCTGCTTCTCCCCATGACTAAGAAACTTGAGCTTTGAGTCTCCTTGTGTCATACTCTGCTCACGACCATGGGGGCAGTGTTCATTTTGTCACTGATAATTTGTATATCACAGAATAGTCACAAAAGTGAAGATTTAAATTCTTTTCTCTAAAAATTGTTCTCCATGTTGCATTAGCTTTGTACTCGGAAGAACCTGTCTCTGCCTCACGCCACAGGCTTAGCACAGCTGTGCTGTCAGGATGAATCACACAGATACAACTCTCTTAGTTGACAGCACATTCTCTGTAAGAGGGCAGTGTTAAAACATGTCCTCATTCCACCTGAGAGCAAAAGCGTAGGATGTGAACTGTATCTCACACAAGTTGAGAGGCACTTGCCAAATTCAGTTCCTTCGACACAAGTATAAATGGGGGACTTTGGCAGTAGTTGAGGGGTGATGTAGTTGCATAGCATGTCAGAAGGCCTTGCCCCACACAAACAAGCAAACATGAGTGTCAGCAGATCCTAAGCGCGTTTTAAAAAGGGAATTAGAGTTAACAGATGAGTCTTGAGCAGGAGGCAGGCATAGTTTACCTAGGCTGACAACTTATCTCCCTGTACTTATCTGCCTGGGTTTGTCTGCACATCTGGACCCTGAGGAGTGCATTGGTTACTGTTTTCTGAAGAGAACAGGATATTTAGATGGATAGACAGACATATAGACAGACAGATACACAGACAGACACACACATGCACACAGACAGAAACACAGACAGACAGAGAGGCTGACTGACTAATGAGATAGAAAGGCATATCAAGTCCAAATTCTGCAAGATAGGACAGATAGGCTGGAAACTAGGGAAGGTTCAGTCTGTATTTTTGAGTTCCTAAGTTTTGTACAACTAGAAATCTCGAGGTGGTGGTGACTGGTGTAGCTAGTCTTTCCTAGGACCTTCAATGGCTACATGAGACCTGTGCTCACTTCATTCAAATGCTGGGTTTTTGTTTATGTTTTTGTTTTGTTGTTTTTGTTTTTGTGACTGGGTTCTCTGTGTAGTCATGGTTGTCCTTAACCTTACTCTGTCACCAAGTTGGCCTGGAACTCAGACCCAAACTGGCTGATCTAGCCAAGCCCAGTTGACATAAAATTTACTGTCATTCCCAGCATATCAGAATGTGGGCACTTAGGTGTTGTGGATAATATTAGAAAATGAACCTACAATCTTCCCGCACTAACTCTGGACTACTCCTGTCCCACCAACTCTTCCGCAGCGCTGGAGCTCCTGAGCTGGTTCCCCCATGATGTTCCCCAGTTTGCTCTTGTAGTGACTGGTCAATGTGTTTCCTTTTCCAGTTTGTTCATCCCTGGAGCCACTAGTCTCTTCACAGCTCTAAGCACCTGATTGTCAGTGGACCCACTTTCCAGTAACCCAGTAAAGTGAAACTCTAAAGCTTAAGATTAAACAAATAGATTTATATATCAGCAAATACTCAATACACAAGATGCCCACACAATTAGAATTGTTATCCCAATTATCTAATGTTGATATGAATAACGACCTGAGATTGCTAGAGACATGAGGGTAACATCTGGCACCATCTTGCCTCTCCTCTCTCCTCCCCCTCCTCCTCTCTCTCCCTGAGCATTTTTCTCTCCTCCCAACTCCTAGCACTGCCTCCCTCTTTTCTGTCCTTTGACAAGTTTCCACTGCAAATACATTGGACAGGAAATTTCTGCCAGACTTAGGCATGACTTCTATCAGCTTATCATTTTTGGAAAATTTCCAAAATAAAAATAGTACTTTAATTTTAGAGAAATTTCATCATTAAGTAAGACCCTGATTACTGTATTCATATACATGTAATCTGAGTTCAACTTTCTTCCCAAGCTTTATCTAGTGGGGGAAGGACTTATAGATAGGTGACAGTCACCTTTAAAAATTCAAAATTAAAATTCAAGCAATTTTAAATTAAATTAATCATAATTAATTAGTAATGGATAAATTGAAATAATTTCCAATTTACTTATTAAATTAATTGTTAATAACTCAGTCATTATATTAAATATTCAGTAATTTAATTATTAGATTAAATAATACATTTAAATAGTTAGGAAAATTATTCCTATGCATTTTACATTTTAGACATCTTAGAAAATGTTGAAAAGTATTTTGAAACCAATTCAATACCATAATCCCAGGCCAGTTAATGTCAAGAGATTAGATAGGTGGATAATACAGACTTCTTGGTGACAACTCAAATCATGCTTGGTGACTAAGACAAGATAAGAGGCTTAGACCAATCCTAAAGATGACGAAACCAGGAGTGGGAATCTAGTGTGGTGGGAAGGAAGTGAGAAAGGAAGACCATAAGACCAGGAAATACAGCCCTAGGTGGGAGGCAGGTCGATGAGTCTCAGAGGTCACTTTTTGACCTCAAGGAGGATGAGAAGGGGCACACTGTGTTGTATGACCTTCAGAGGAGGAAGCGATCAGGGTTCAGCAAGGAGAATAACAGTGAGAGACAGGCACACTGGTTCACACTTGTAATCCCAGCAGCTGACAGGGTCAGCCTTTGTGTGGTCACTCACTCTCAGTTCCCTGAGCTCCTGATTCAAAAATAGCAAATAGAAGGAGCCAGGGAAATGATGGCTCCTTGAGCTTGCCAGCATGAGGCCCTAGTTTGAACCCTCAGCATGCGTGTAAAAAGGTGGACACAGCTGTGTAGCCTGTAACCCCAGCATTCAGGGGCAGAGACAGACAGACCTCACTGACCAGGCGGCCTAGCACAAACGCTGAGCTTCTGGTTCAGTGAGAGATGCTGTTTCAGAACAAGGAGGTGGAGATTGACAGAGGAAGACACCCAGTGTTTTGCTCTGGCCTCTGCATGGGCACACATGATCTCAGTACTCTCTCTCTCTCTCTCTCTCTCTCTCTCTCTCTCTCTCTCTCTCACTCTCTCTCTCTCTCTTTCTCTCTCTATCTCTCTCTCTATCTCTCTCTCTCTGTCTCTCTCTCCTTCTCTTCCTTTCTCTCTCCCTCTCCCTCTCTCTTTCCCTCTCTCTCTCCCTCTCTCTCACTGTCCCTCTCTCTCACTGTCCCTCTCTCTCTCTCCCTGTTTCTCTCTCCCCTCTCTCTCTCTCACACACACATACTCTCTTACACACTCACACACTCACTCACATGCATGAACTATGTACAGCACACACACATATACACAAACACCACTTATATTTTACAAGAAATACTAGATAGAAAAGATTCTAGCCAGGAAGCATTGCAGACCGAAGATGTCTAAGAATGTCTCCCTCCCATTATAGCTTATATCTGTAGACAGAGAATAGGAAATGGCATACAGAAATAACCTGGACTCAGTCAGTAACATGCCTACCATGCAAGCATGAGAGTCTGGCTAGAGACCCCGCATCCAGAGAGAAACAGAGATGTCAGCAACACGTCTGTAAGCTCAGAACTGTAGGGCTGAGACAAGTGGATCTCTGAAGCTAACTGGCCAGGTGATCTAGTGAATTAGCATGTTCCAGGGTAAGTGAGAGACCCCAGCTCAAAAGATAAGGTGGGGAAGAAGAAGACACAAAGATAGCCTCTGGCCCTCAGATGCATATGTACATAGATGCAAATAGACCCACATGTACACATCACAAAAACATGTGTGTATACACTACCCTCCCAACACACAAGAAGGCCATAACCTCATTGGCTGAAGTTGTCACTCACTTCATAAGGGCATATTTTACAACAATTTTGTCACATTTCCATGTTGATTTGTACGTGCACACTCATGTACATGTACACACTCATGCACAAGTGGTTGCCATGTGCATATAAAGGACAGAGGATGCCTTTGAGGGGTCGGTTTCTGGGAATCAATTCTCTCTTTTTACCATGCGGGGCCCAGGATTGAACTCAGGTCATCAGGTTGGTGGCAGGCACTTTACCCACT